ATCAGTGTGATGATTTGCTGTGGTGACCCCTAAACGGGAAAAGCCGAAAGTGACTTTCTTTCTATATACATGTATATAAGCAAATAAATAAACATGCTGAAATTCAAGACTTAAATTCAGAATGTTACATGCTTTCACACAGTGCTCTGATTCTCTAGGAAACACTTGAAAAGACTGTGGAAAGGACAGAGGAATTTTCTTCCTGAGAGGTTTCACAAGCCTCAATCTGCTCTCAGTGTAGTAAGTAAAATACACACAAACAGCAGATGGTAGACGAGTCCAGGGCAAATCTTATCATTCACAACTTCGACACTGGGCTCAGTTTTAACTGTTTCCAGAGCATGATGTGTGTCACTGAGCTTGAAGTATTTCTGCTATGTCTTGTAAACCATATGGTTGCTTGCACGCCACCAGCTCCGCAAAAACACTACATGATTATCAGTTTTGTTCTGGCTCTCAGTGGGCTGAACGTGGTTCCCAGAACAAAGAACAGATTGTGGCTAACTGTCAAAGGAAAAGCAAACACAGGCTCTGCCAAACACACACATTTTCAAGTGTTGGAAATAGTCACCGTAAATACAAATAACAAGACAAATGTTCTCATTAAATTTTCACAGGCTTCCATTGCAAGATACTCTGGATGGCAAATAGCATTTACACTATGGGGTAAGAGTTTTACTCTGTGAAAAACAGGAAGCACAGACGTACTGTGTTTTCAAACTAAAGTCTGAAGTTGCATAGTGGATTGGGCAGCAGTCGAAGGCAGGGGCCCCGACAGCCCGATCTCTGGACACGGAGACTAGCCATGGGGACATGGAATGTCACCTCGCTGGTGGGGAAGGAGCCTGAGCTTGTGCAGGAGGTTGAGAGGTACCGGCTAGATATAGTCGGGCTCACCTCCACGCACAGCTCGGGCTCTGGAACCTTACTCCTTGAGAGAGGCTGGACTCTCTACTACTCTGGAGTTGCCCGCGGTGAGAGGCGGCGGGCTGGTGTGGGCTTGCTCATAGCTCCCCAGCTTAGCCGCCATGTGTTGGAGTTTACCCCGGTGAACGAGAGGGTCAC